CAAGGAGTTGGGTTGTCTGCCACCCGCGGCAGCCCCGGCTCTTGCCCCGCGGGGGAATCGGATGAAGCACATCTGGACAGTTGTGGCAAGAAACTTGTGCGGCCCCTTCCGAAGTCCGACGTCAGCTGGGCACGTCCCCCACGTCCTCTCTTTCCTGTCACTTATTATTTATTCATTTTCCCAAAGAAGCCACCAGGGACCTGAGCTTAAAACTTTTTTTTTTTTCCTCCTAAAGTGAGAAGGTGCCAGATCCCATCCAACTTACAGTTTAATTTTCATGGGGTTCTGGGATCAAAAGAACAGAAACAGCAACAACGAAAGCCCAGCCGCTGTCTGATTTAAACTGGCAACGTGGGAAAAATAAAGTTGCATAAACAGACTGAGTTGGGTAAGTTTGGGATACGTGCTGGTTGTCATCTTTCTCCTGTGATCTCTCTCCTGTGTCTTTTTGCCGACCTCCCAGCCTTGTCTTCAAGGAGAGACTCGGGCTTCCTGCTCTTCTGCTTCGCTATGTTAATGTTTTTGCTTGGTATTTGAAAAAAATTTTTTTTTCTTTTGGCATGCTATTTTTAAATTTCTTGGGAACAGAAATCTGTCTGCTATCCTGTTGGAAGCCTCTCTTAACTCCAAAGTTGAATCTACGGATACATTTATTCTTCTGTTTTCTTTCTCTGAGAACACTGTATATGTTTGTAAAGTGGAAATCTTTATCCACCCTCAACCCTCTGACTGTTTTGATGAAAGAGTGAAAAGATAATCTGGTTTATCCACGAAATTAATAGTGTTTGCTTCAGTGATGTGATGTTTAATACTAATTATTATTATTAATATTACTTGTCAGAAGGTGCATGTGTTCTCTGAAAAGAGAGAGAGAGGGAGAAGGAGAAAGAGAAGAAGAGGAAAAGGAAAAGGGCAGAGAGAGGGAACCCACCCCCAATGGGGTGTAGTCAGGCAGCAATCCCATCTCCTCCATTTCTTCATCCTTTTAGGATTTGGGGCACCCGCAGGGGCTGGTATGTTTTTTCAAGCTGCCATGGCTGGTATTTGAACCATGGTTGGCCACGTAGGATCTGGCTCCCTTAACTATTAGGCCATAGGGCCAGCCCAGATGATTTAAAACCTAAATTATGCAAGTAATTGCTGAAAAAAAAATGAATGTAGTTATAATCCAAATATAAGTCTTTTCTGTATTTTCCTATCCTGAGTGGGAGCCCCAGATTCCTTTATGATTGTTTAAAAAATACATTGAACATGACAGGCTACTTTGTGTATCAATAACCTTGTAATTATATTGCATTTCTTTACTTACTTAAAGTTTTAAAGACTTACTTCTTTCTTTCATGAGAGGAGAGAAAGACAAGCACCCTCACCAAAGTCTCATGATGCGATGCTCCTCACAGGCTTCCCAGCCGATGAGGATCACCAGCACGTGCAATCACCTGCTTGGTGTTTTTTTTTTTTTTTTTTTTTTTTTTTTTGTAAGTTTTTCTCTTATGGGCTTGTCGGAAAAACAGAGACAGAGAGACAGAAAGCGAGAAATCACCCGCCAGGGGGGATGGCCACCCCACAATCCCTTCTCCTCCACTCTATTCTCCTCTTGGGATCTTGGGCACGCACACACTTGCACCCAGCGTGAGTTTAAGCCGCTGGGTCCGGGACTTGAACCACGGTCGACTGTGTGGGAGTCCAGCGACATAGCCATTATGCTAACTGCTGGTCCCAGCACACACCTGCTTTGGACAGGTTGGCCTGGGAACTGAACCCTGGTCTAACATATGGCTCCAATAGCATAGAATGGTGCAGTGTACTACTGCCGGGCCGCTCCTTTGCCACCACTGCTGTAAGTTCTGACCCCCACGCTGGTGGCAAATTTCCTTTAAGAAGTTTCTACCTTAGGGCATATGAGCTCACCGGAGAGACAGGGAGACAGAGACAGCAAGAAGGAAAGTGAGAAATCACCCCCAAGGGGGGAATGGCCAGACATCCTTAGTCCTAATTTCTCCTTCTGGGATTTTGGGCACACATACACCTGTACCTGGTGTGATTTATTTTTTTTTAAATTTCTTTTTTGAGAGTTTTTTTTGCTATAGGGTGCGTGCGCTCGCCAGACAGACAGAGAGAGACATAGAGACAGAAAGCAAGAAATCACCCCCCAGGGGGGATGGTCACGCCGCAATCCCTTCTCCTCTATTCTCCTGTTGGGATCTTGGGCACGCATGCACACGCGCCTGGCGTGAGTTCTAAGCCACCGGGTCCGGGACGCGAACCGTGGTCGACTACGTGGGAATCCAGTGACATAGCCATTATGCTAACTGCTGGTTCCCCTACCTGGTGTGATTTTCAAGCCAGGGGCATATCCGCTACACTATCTGCTGGCCCTCTCCCACTGTATTTTAAGCCTATAATTTTATCAAAATAATATTCAGAGTGGTTGTTATATGTGCATACTTGCAGGTAATTCTGGTATATATTTCAGGATTTAGAAGTGAGATGATAGAAACTGTTGAGTTAGGTGAGTGGCCCAAAGCCCATTCCATCTGGAACACCTATTATTCTGTTTAAGCAATGGTATGGATTTGAGACTGTCATGTTATTTACTATCATAGGAGAGCTGGCCAGGATGGAACCTTAATTACTAGCTCAGAAAGAAGTAGGTGGGAGTTTGGTAAAATAATTATAAGTTGAGGCTGTGATTTAGATTCAGAAAGATAATGCTTACAAAAGGTGGAAGAGCTCAAGTGCTTTTCAGAGGTGCTGGGTTCAGAGGAATAGAACTGGAGCAGCTCTGTACAGAGCTGGCTGGACTAGTTCAGTTCACACCCCAAGATGTGACTTGGGGCAAGGTACTCAGCCCCTCATCTGTGCCTCAGTTTCTGCCTCTGTAATATGCAGCGTTTTCGGTGACGTGTTGATAATAATAGCATCTACCTCACAAGGTTGTCTTGAGGACTCAGTGAAGGTAAGCACTTGAGGTCTTTGCTGTTGTGCTCACTCTTTGTCGCCCTCCTTCCCAGCTTCCCCTGCTGCACCTCGGGTTCCCCAGCCTGCATTACGGCCGCTGTGCTAGAACCGGCGTTGACAGAGCATTCACCGCTCACTAGGCACTATATGAGGCTGTAAGGAAAGAGTCTTGAATGGGGAATGAGGTAGCCCTCAATTGTCTTGGAAAGATCTAGAAGGTCCTGGGAGTGCAGGGAATGAAAAAAGGCCATTTTATTATAAGACGGTTTTATGGAAAGGCTGGCATTTTTGGAAAAGAGTTTCACCGAACAGTTTTGGTTGGAGTTGGGGGAAGATACCGCAGAGCCGCCATAGCATTTCAGGAGGAAGGAGAGGTGGGGCCGAGGTACTGTGGCAAGTAAGCGCGGTGCTCCCTGAGGATATTGGAGCGTTGTGCAGGTCAGTGGGAGGAAAGGCGGGGAAGTGAGAAGTCGGAGAGGACAGCCTGGAGCGCTCGATGGGGAAGGAGAGACTTGGGAGGTAGGACGGTGGAATGGGGAGTGGCACAGGCAGCAAGTGCTAGTGGTGCTATTTCTGGACCTGCCCATCTCTGGTGTCCAGTCTCCATCCCTTGTCCACCATAGCCTTCCCAGCTGCTCCACTGCTTCTGTGACCTCCATCCGGGGCCTGCAGGCTGTCTGGGCAGGGCGTCTGACTCCACGTGTTGGACTTAAGTCTGTGGTGTCTGTGAGCTCTGCTTCAGTGGCATGGCACTCCATTACTCGGGCTACTTTTCATTAACAGGCCATGCCTTAATGTCTTTGACATGGAGGCAATTGTCACGACCCTCTCCCGTCTCCGTACACACACAGTGTGCGTGGAGCAGCGCTTCCTCATCTTGTGGATAGAATCGCCCCTTGTTTATACTCACAACTTCCTGGCATACAGTGACTGGAGAAGATATACCTCTGACGTGCACCGAAGTAGAGTGTCTGCGTGGCATTCTCTTGCTTTTTCTACCTTGAGAGCATCGTGCTGTGGCAGATAGTCTGCTCTGGCATTGCTGCTGACCACCTGCATGACCTCAGGCAAGACGCTGAGCCATTTAGCCCTCTGTGCCATCAGCTGTGACATGCTCACTAAGGTCCTTTTCCCTTGGGTGATCATTTGCTCTTCCCCTCCCATCCCTGGGACAGTCTGTTGCTCATGGGTGGTCTTTGATACATTCATGGCTAATATCATCTGACCACTTAACATGTGGCAGGCATTATTCTGAGTGTTCCTGTCATCCTTACAGCAACTGTGTGACCATGTGACCATGGGTACCTGTGTGTGTCCTGTTTTTATAGATGAGGAAACAGGCAGGCTAGGAAACTTGCCCAAGATTACACAATGAACAAATGGCAGGTGCAGATCTAGACCCAGACAGTCTATCCTCAGAATCCAAGCCTTAACTATCAGGCTACACTGCCTTACATCTAATATAGCTATGGCTGCTCTGTTTGTAGTGGTGCTAGCCAAGAAACCCATGGGAAGAGGAACATTATACAGGGACACATTTGAAGGGATGCAGTTGATAAAATTTGTCCAGAAGGGTCAGAATATCAACCTAAATCTTGTCTACAAGATGTGCTCTAAGGCAGGGGTCCCCAGTGCTGGCTGCAGATCAGTGCTGGTCCATGGCATGCTGGCCGCACCCCTACCTCTGCATGGGCAGCAGACAAGTGGATGAGGCTTCATCTGTGTTTGTAGCTGCTCCCCATCACTCACATTGCTGCCTGGACTCTGCTTCCTGTGAGGTCAGGGTCGGTACTGAATTCTCATGGGAGCAGGAGCTCTAGTGTGTCATTGTTTCATTGTGCACCGTGATGTGGCATGGGGGAAAAGGGGCACGTGGTTGATGTGGTGTGCTTGGGCCATCCTGGGACCAGCCCTCCACTCCTGACTGTCCACGGAGGGATCGTCCTCCATGGGGCTGGTCCCTGATGATGGGCAGGTTGGGGACTGCTGCTCTAAAGACAACAAGAGATGTTTTACCTGTTTCTTACATGGATCTCATTGCAGGCAAGCAGCCTGCCTTTCCATTTTGTTTGCACAGAATGCACTGTAGTACTTGGACTTAGAGCAGACAACGAATATCAACTGAATGATTATCCTTTTTGAAAACGAAAGTGTGACTACAGTATTTTTATTTATTTTTTTAAATAATAAAGAAACTCTGAAATGTCCCAAGACTTATAGGAAAATGGGACCAATGCCAGGTAGACATCTCCTGCATCTCCTGCATCTTGAGCCTCCTCGCTTCTCATCTTATTTCTGGAGATGCTGTGGCTTTGGGGTAGGAACTTCTCTTGCTGAAGATCAATGTAGAGCTATTTTAGGTGTATAGTTACTAATCACACTTATACTGGATTCAACATCTTTTTTGATTAGTTGTTCCTTTTTAAT